CCCCCCCCCCAAATTTAAAGACCCAATTTAAAAATGAGCATCGGAGATGAGCAGACATTTCTCAGACAAAGAAGTAGAAGCAACAAATAAACATGGAAAAATTTTCAACATCACTGGTCATTTGAGAGATGCAGATGAAAACAACACTGAGATCCCATCCCACTCCAAAAAAAATGGCTGCTATCAAGAAATCAACCAACAGCAGGGCCAGGGATTTAGCTTAGTGGCGCCATGCTTCGTGCTTGCCTCACAAGCCCAAGGTCCTGAGTTCAATATCCGGTACCAAAATAAAAAAAAGAAAAAGAAAAAGAAATCAACCAATAACAAATGCTGGGGGCCAGGGATTTAGTTCAGTGGTTTCACTGCCTGCTGCGCAAGCCCAAGGACCGGAGTTCGATCCCCGGTACAAAAAAAAAAAAATGCTGGCAGGGCTTCAGGGAGGAAGGAACTCTTATCCACTATTGGTGGAAGTGCAGACCGGTGCAACCACTGTGGAAATCAGAATGGAGATTCCTCAAAAAACTAGGATTACAGGTCTCAGTTGACCCCGCTATTCCCCTACTGGGTATGTTCTCCAAAGAATTAAAAGCGGCTGGGGATTTAGCTCAGTGGTTCCATGCAAGGTCCTGAGTTTGATCTCCGGTACCCCCCCCCCCAAAGAATTAAAAGCATCATACCACAGTGACATATGCGCATCCATATTTTTAGCAGCACAGCTTGTTAATAGTTAAATCTTGGAAATAGCCCAAAAGCCCATCAACTGGTGAGTGGATAAAGAAGATGTGTTTTGGGTTTTTTTTTTTAATAAAATGGAGTACTATTCAGCCATAAGGAAGATAAAGTTGAGATATTTATAGCTAAATGGATGCACCTTGTAAGTGAAATAAACCGAACATACGTGTAAATACTGAATCCATTTCTCTGGTGTGAGAAACTGAAGGTGTAAATGAGGACCAAAATGTATAATAGATATTGTGAAATAGGAAGAAAGTGTTCAAAGGGAAAGGGGAACTCGGGGTGGGGGCAGGGGAAAGGAAAGAAGGGAAAGAAAAAAATTCAAAGTAAGAAGGAAAAAATGGAAACAAAGCTTATGTATGTAGGGGGGCCGTGGAAGGGTAGAAGGGAGGGCAAGGGAATGGGAAAAGCTAAGAATCAAAATATATCATGCACAGGTACAAATTCTTGATGATGAATGTGATCATAAGGTATACCTAAATGTACTAATAAACTCAATTTATTTTATTTTTTATTTTTTGGAAAGAGAAAACAAACTTTAGTAATGGGGATTGAGTAAAAAAAAAAGCAATCATCTGCTGTGTTGTTCTATGCTTCTGTAGTAACAAAACTATAATGTATGAGAGTAACTGGGGAACAGGTTATATGTAAGAAAACTATTTGATTCCCTAACACATGGTATTTCAACATACTATTTTAATAAGTCTTGCCTATATTTCTGTAAGAATAACAAAGATTTGAATAGCTTTATTGAGGTTTAATTGACAGGTAAGCTGCACGTCCATAAAATGTACAATTTGGTAAGTTTCACATGTTATATGATCACATCACCACGGGCATAACTGAACATAACTATCACTCCAAAGTTTCTGACCTATTAAAGCATTGCTGCCCTCCTTGATCCCTGCGTTCCTAGGCAACCATTAATCTGCCATCGCTATACATTAGCTTCTGTTTCCTGGACTTTCATATAAATGTAATCATTAGTGTACCAGATATACTTGCTTTTTGTTTGGCTTCTTTCACTTAGAATTATTTTGAAATTCAGCTATGTTATCATGTGTATCCATACTCCATCTATTTTTTTGTTTTGTTTTGTTTTGTTTTGTTGAGACAGGGTTTCACTGTGTACAGTAGTTCAGGCTGGCCTTGAACTGGTGCCACCACACCTGGCTCTCCATGTTATTGCTGAGAGATGTTCTGTTATATAGATATGCCAGCAGTTTATTCGTTCACATTTGGACACCCGGGTTGCTTCTAGTTTTTTGGTTACTACAAATGAAGCTGCTATGGAATGTTCACTTAAAAGTCTTTTTGTGGATACACGCTTTCATTTCTCTTAATTACTTGGGAGTAGAATTGTTGGGTGATATGATTGGAGTATGTTTAACTTTTTTTTTTGGTACCGGGGATCAAACTCTGGTCCTTGCACTTGTGCATCAGGCAGTGAAACCACTGAGCTAAATCCCCGGCCCTATGTTTAACTTTTTAAGAAACTATCAGCCTGTTTTCCAAGGAAGTTGTATCATTTTATAATTCCATCATGAGTATATGAGAAAAACTTCGAGTTTTGAGTTTGAAAGTATCTAGTGGTTACTGCTTGAATACTCATAGTATACAAGCTGTGCAAATCATGTGCCAGAGAAATGACTTGAGCATGTAAGGAGCCTACAGGATATTAAGACGGGATATACAGTAATACCTCAGTTCATGAATGCTTCTGTTTGCGAACAATCCGGTTCTCAAACAGAAGTGTTAAATAACATTTTGCTTTTGTTCACATACTCCACATCGGGTGACAAACACAGCCATGGTCATCTTCCCCACACAAACACAAACACAGCCATCTTCCCTGAAATCATAAAACAAATTAAGGTATGAACCACAGTATTGCTCTCAGTATCTGTGTGTCTCCACATATATGCAGAGCACTGTGCAGCAGGATGATGTCAACCCAGAGGTCCAGACCATGAGTGTGGAAGTCCTGGCCTAGTGAGGACAGTGAGCTCATTAAAGGAGGAGGGGAGCTAGCCAAGATGAGTAGGACACTGTGGGAAAGAGCTACAAGTAAATGCATCAGTTAGGTTAAAACTAATGTCAATGTTAAGCACTACTGTTGGTATGAAGCACTATTTCCATCAGTCTGCCTCCTAAAGATCTCTGTCGGGATCTTTATCGGTTATTGCTGCCTGCCACTCTACCCCAAAATGAGTGGCTTCAGACAACAGTCATTTATTCTTTCTCATATGCCTGTGGGTCAGTGGGCAGTCCTACTGACTTGCACCAGCCCAGCTCAATCCCTGCAAGATCCCAGTTTGGGGCCAGCGAGCTGTGAAGAGGGCAGCTGTGCTCCTGACTGCACCACACAGGTCCCCTCCTGCTGCAGGCCAGTCCAGACTGCTTCTCATTGTGGTTTAGGCTGAGAATGCCAAGTGTCCTTGGTCAAGCTCCTCCCGAGGCCAATGCAGATTCAAAGTAAGGAGCAGAGGTAACGTCACCGTAGGATGTATGGGCATGGGTGGAGGATCAGAGCCTGTCTTCATTAACCTACTACATCCTCAAAGACCATACTGACCATCACTTGTCACTGTTTAATTTAATTCTTTATCTGACTATGTCTTCGAGCCAGAATCTGGCTGAGACCAAAGAAGTAAGCAAAATAGGTCTGTCTCCTGATCCAACTCCAAGTTGCATGATTGGTCATCCTCCTCACAGTAGATTAAGTTTTGGGCTTTTTTTTCCCTTTTTTTTGGTACTGGGGATCGAGCTCAGGTCCTTGCGCTTTCAAAGCAGGTGCTGGAACCACTGAGCTAAATCCCCAGCAGGTCATTGTTATCCTTTTCTTATCCATTAGTTGCAAATGTTGAGAAATTTAGCATTTTTGCATATCTTTATCTCTTTAATGTTTCTACCCAGAATCTTTACCTGTGTCCTCATAAGAGTTTTTGGGCAATTAATTTACTTATTTTGGTTTTTGAGTCAGGGTCTCATTATGTAGTTCAGGCTGGCCTTGAACTTATTGTGTAACCTGGATGGTTTTTTGAACTCTCAGTGATCTTCCTGCCTCAGCCTCCCAAGTGCTGGGATTACAGACATGCCTGGTGGGCAGTTTAACTCTTACTCTGTTTTTTCTTTTAGACACACTACCTCATCTATGGGAAAGGGTTTCAGACTTGGGAATATTCCCCGGTGTATGCCATTCGTTCTTATGCTTATCTGTTGCTTCATGCCTGGCCTGCTGCATTTCATGCAAGAATTCTACAAACTAATAAGGTAAGGATAAGTGAACCTGAGAACAGTTACAAATGATCAAGAGGTAAGTCTCTGGAAAAATTTTGAAAAGAGAACAAAACAGATTGGGAGCTAAGAGGGGATTTTTTTTTTTTCCCTTTTGAGACAGGGTCTAACTATGTTGTCCAGGCTAGACTCAGGTGATCCTCCCATTTCAGCTTCCTTGAATAGCTGGGATTATGGGCATAGGCCATTATGTCCAGTGAAGAGGGTACTTTTTTTTTTTTTTGGTACCAGGGATCGAACTCAGGACCTTGCACTTGCAAGGCAGGCATGGTGCCACTGAGCTAAATCCCTGGCCCAAGGTACTTTTTTTATTGGTACTGGGGATCAAACTTGGGTCCCTGTCCTTGCAAGGCAAGCAGTGGAACCACTGAGCTAAATCCCCAGCCCCAAGGTACTTTTTAAAAAAGAATCATTTATTCATTTATTCAACAGACATTAACAGAGCAACATTTATTTAATAGACATTGTGTTAAGTGACCTAGCTATAAACAACGATCATGTCCCTGCCTTCACGGAACTTAAGTTTAGTGGGGAAGATGGGCATTGAACAAGTAATTCTAAATGCAGTGAATCTTTTGGCAGGTGGAGGGGGAAAAGTACAATATATAGTGGTATAGAATATTAGGAGGGCCTAATTTAAGCTGTGTGCTGAAGAATAATTAAGAATTCACTGAGCCTGGAACAGCTATGTACTTGGGAAACTGGTAGGGGGATGGAAAGTTTGACACCGGCCTGGAAAACTTAGCAAGACCCTGTCTCAACATAAAGTTTAAAAAGGTCTGAAAGGACTACTATCTAGATTATATAAAGAACTTAAAAAAAATCAGACCCCCCCCCC